TCGCAGGCTTCATAGGTCGCCGCGGTCGGCAAATGGTGTATCTTGGCGTTGAAATTCCAGTTTACTACCGTTGTGTAATTATTTGTTTTATTTTTCCAGTAAAATTTTGAGAGTTCCATGGCATTATAATATTGTTTATTAGTAAGAGTCATTTTATGATTGTAATACAGGGTTTTCCAGTGGGTGGCAATGTAGCCAAAATAAAACTCACCATCATATTTAATGCTAGCCTTTATAAATAAAATGTTTATTCATACATTTATGATTTAGTAGATAGGTACTGTTTTATTCGACAATTACATTTTCTGTCTGTATTAATATTGTCATTGAGCTAGTTTATATATTTGTTTAATGTTATGTTGTGCTCTATTTGCATTATTCGGACTATTGTCCTCATCTTTGTCGCCATATTTATTACAACCTTTCGGCTGTTGTACGCTCCGACTTTCTTCAGGTGGTTGGAATGTCGAACTGAACCCTTTATTTCGGTCACTGGGGTAGACTGTTCTAGTTCCACGTGCCATGTTTAATGGATGTCAGTTATCAGTTATCTCCTGTTAATCCCCCCCTCCAAGTTCTCCACTGCCTTAACCGGGTATTGAACTCACACTCATGTCACTGGATCTAACCAATGCTTTTATCCACTGTTCCATGTGTTCGTGAGGACATATTTACCAGTGCTCATATTGCAATTTTTGCTGTTTTTATTGCATGTTTTTACCGGTGCACATATTGTAATATTTTGTTATTGTCGCTTTTCTCTGACACTCCTTATTACTGATTCCCATATTGTATTCATTTCTATGCTTGGTCGGCTCAGGAGATTTTTGTGGTCTAGCATATGTGCTGAGTCCTTAATTGATTCGTTGTAATAAATATGGCGAAAAAGATGAGGACAACAGTCCGAATAATGTAAATAGTGTACATAATGCCTCATCTCAGAAATATATACAGTTATGTTGTGCTATATACTGCTCGAGGTTTTTGATGCAGCCATAGATAATTTAATGTTGTTCTTGTTGAAGATTTTGTTGAGCAATGGGACATGGCTGAAATGTTTGTGGATTAAATTAAGGAAAATTTTATTTATATTGGTTTTGACATTTTTGTTAAATGGTGGGTTAAACTAAATTATATTGCGTTTTCTATTCCTCTGTTTATTGTACATTCATATATATATATTCTAGTCTAAATTTATATTTATTTTATAATATATATTTAGTTTTATATTTGTTGTATTTTGTTGCTAGATAGTAGTCTGTATTGCATGATTTATATATAAATTCCTATATATATATATTTACATATAAATATTTATATAAGGCATATATATCAGAATATAAATACATAAAATATAAACAAATATATATATACAAAATATATATGATAATTTGTATTATATATATAAATATATATATAAACAACGAATAATTTAATAAACCGGTCATGCTCGAAATTAATTTCGATATTTTTTTTTTTTTTGCTGAGAGTAAAGGAAAGCTCAAAGAAAGCAAGAACTAGCAATTCCGAGAAGACATTATGTATGGCTGTTAGCAAGGGAGACGATTCAAGACTCGAGCTACGACTGTCTGACGTCAGAATCAAGCAAATATATAATATAAATATAATTATTTATATATATATATATATGTTAAAAAGAAATGATAATGGTAAATTTTTATATACCCATATAAAATAAGAATAATCCTTAGAATTAAATATAAAATATATATATATATATATATATATATATATATATATATATATATATATATTTTTGAGCAACCTTGTATTTTATAAAAATATTAACAAACAAATATATATATATATATATATCCAGGATAAATATATATATTTTCGATATAATATTTTTTATATTTATACATTTATTTATTTTATATTTTATTTAAATCTTTAAACTGTTAATCTTTGTGTGTAAAAACATTAATATTTATTTTAACCCTTATATTTATATAAATATATATATATATATATATATATATATATATATATATATATATATATATATATATATATAGATAGAGAGAGAGAGAGAGAGAGAGAGACATTGATTCAGTCCTCAAACTAACAGGTCTTTAAACACTCTGAGAGACAGATTTCTCTTTGGCTCTATCTTTCACTGCTTCGTGGGAAAGAGATTAATTCGTGCCCAATCCCCATATATGGATTAATTGGTAGGATTATTTTTTTAAAAAAAAGATTATTAATGCATTATCCACTCACGAAATATAAGGAATTATTCTTACAATACCAAATTTGTCTTTGCTTTAAATAACCCTCAAAGGGTTGATAAGCCGTAAAGAATGAAGATTAATCAATCAATCAACATTTACTTCACGGACACTGTCTCTCTATAACCAATCGTTTCAATTTTTATAATGATAAAAAGTAAATAAACAATGCATTTGAAATCATCTTTTAGGACACCCTGTATATATATATATATATATATATATATATATATATATATATATATATA